ATCCAAGCCACACCCTTGTGAGAGCTGGATGTCAAACAAGAATTTCTGTATTTTTGGCCATTCTTCACTCAATTTTCCACCGACAGATGCTAGCCTAGTCTCCTACTACCACAAAAATATGTCAGCTTTCCTAGTCTACAGTTCTTTCCTTTAGTAATTATGGAACGCTAGAATTTCACTCTTGCCAATAAAACAACCATCTTCCTTTGACACTCATTTATCTGACTACTACCCATCTGTACACAAAAGTTATATTTACACTTTACTTTTATAATACTACTAAATACCTTTGCAATTATTTCTCACATATCTTTATTCTTTTACCTTGCCTTCTGTTTTGTTTGCCTTCCCACAGAGGCTTCTCCGTATTGTCCATCCTTAGACTCTTTCTGCAGCTCCAATTTGTAATTTTCGATGCAGTCTTTTCACCGATTATTGAAGTATTCCTAGTTACTCTGGCATTTTCACTCCTATTTCTGGACCTAACATTTGCTAATTTAGGACTAAATTTATGTACTTCACTACTTCTCTAACACTGCCACACCAATCGTCCTCTGCCCGCCTTCCATACCAAGTGGCCCATTTTTTTACACAGGCTTCCAATTTCATACATGTTCCTTAGTGTTTCAAACTGAGATTCAATCATTGCTTGTATTCTACCAATACTGTCCTTCACATCATTATTAACACATTCAATTTTAACCAACCTTTTATCAATGTCTTCGCTACAGCCTACGCTACTGTAAAACTACACATTGCCTATCAAGACAATCCTTCAGTTTTCTACAACTAGTAACATCACAAAATGCAATTGGAAATTCAACAACAGTTCACACAAGTGCATTTTACATTACTTGTTCCCCCTTAAATATGCAATTTCTCCTCATTATTCGCACACTTTCATTAATCTCATAGCTTCCCCAAAATCTTATCCTTGACTCTCTCGACTGGAACTTGCGAAACTCGTCCTCACCTTCGATATAGAATCATTCCAAATAGTAAATCTGCATGGACAAAAAATCCGTTAATCATTTACAGTTCCTTTATATCAAAGTTAATTGTTATAGCAATTTCTAGCGCTATTTTAAAAGTTGCGTCTTCATATACCACCAGAAAAAGTGCACTTCCCGATATTCCGTTGCCATCTCTTTCACGGATGCTCTTCATCAAGTTGTCTAGTATGAATTTTGACCATTTTAGATTTTCCATATTCTCTTCTTTACCCACTACAGCCACAAGCTTCTTGATTACTATGTCATCCAAAAGTGGTGCTAACACCCTACCAACAACAAATAGTACGAATTTCACTATGAATTCTAAGCTTTCGTTATGCAAACAATATAGGCTGTCCCTCAATTCCTCTACTGCAATTTTTTTGCTATTTAATCTAATATTAAACTCTCTTTCCAACTCTGTATCCATCCTTTGCCTTCGGTTTTTGGTTTCAATATCTTTCCCATGGCTGCTCAAGCCAAATACACATTCCATATCCTCTGTCGTGACGTGTTGACGGTAGCAATGAATGTTCAATGCCCTCCGATCTATATCAAAGTTATCCACTAGCTAGTTGAACATCTCTTTGTCTACCTCAACTCCTTTCACATTCAAAATTGACCCGAACCCAAACTCTCTAATAGCCTGCCACTGCACATCCAAAAGGCAGTCCATCATATTCTTCACTAGATGAGTCGAGTTCCTTAACATTCTTTCCGCCGTCTGCCGAAGTTGCTTCCTTTCACTGCTGCAACTATACTAATTCGTTGCTATTGCACTTTTATGCGTCAGTGAGGGCCGATTTTTTCTTTCTCCTTTATTATCCCACTGCATATCTGAAGCATCTATTTCGGCCGCCAACTCCATAACGAATACCATTTTGTATTCTTCATGGTAATTCCTATCCGGTTTCGCAAACCTTCATTTTATATGTGTACAGTGTTTAGCTTCTCCACCAAGCTTCATGCTTTTTTAATGCCCTTAGTTTCGCCCACGACCCTCTGTCTTTGGCAATTGATTATTTTAGGCACTCCACCTTTCCCATGTATGCTTTCGAATCCTCTCAACTTTTCATATGTCCCTTACACTCAACTTCAACAACCAACGACTCTTCAAGTTGCAGGTCACAAAATACTTTTGCACATGCCCATCCAAGACATATTCCCTATCATTTGCGGCCACAATCGCTCAGTCCTTTTCCCCCACCTTTCCACACCTCGTCTTTGACCAATAAACGTACATCAGCAACATCCTTAAACCTATGTTTTTAAACTCGGACCGGACTGGCTGGTCCGATCGGGAACCAGCCAAGTGTCCGGTCCGAGTTACTCTAAAAGACCGGATGGATAAAAACTCGGTCAAACCTGGTCAAAAATCGAGTTTGACCGGAAAACTGGAAGAACCAGTTTGAGTCAAAGCCTTTTTTTTTAAAAGGTCAAACATTTTCAATATTATGTTTTGACCACTACGTTGTTAAAAATTATTAGTATACCTCAAATATTTCATAGTTTATAAATGTTGTCCTAAAATTTGATGTTAATTTTCAATCAAGTCTATAATTTTAATTCTAAACTTGTTAATGTTCATTAAATAATATAAATTGCTATTTGGTTGTTCTAATTTATTTGTATTTTCTTGTTAAATATATTTGAAGCATCAGATATATATGAATATACCTTTTATTAATATTAACATATTATGAGGTATTTTACATACAATATTTTAATTTTTAATTAATATTTATTTATGACATAATCCGATTCAACCCCTATTGAATTCGATCGAACCCATTGACCCCTGACTCCTGAGTTCGATCGAGTCGATATCCAATCCGAGTCTAAAAACATAGCCTTAAACTGAATTCAAAGTCTGGTGTTAGTAAACTACTAAGATGTGTAGTGGTCTAGGTCAAATCAGAAAATTTGAAACGTGGTTAGCTTTATGTAGTCATCAATGAACCATCTCTCAATTCAGATGCGCGCAGAGTTGGATAACGACTTCTCCTTGAAAAGGAGTTGGTTAATCAATATAGAGCTTTTACCTCATTAATTTTTTCATAATAAAGAAATTTGACTTATTTGGAATAGATTAATCTTTTCAATAGTGATAGAGTATTGCCCAATTTAAATTTGAATTTCAAAATTTGCACATATATCATACACTCAGACTCACTAGAGTATATATTTGGTATTGTATGAATAAGCACCTAGACTCGTAAGTGCATATAGTGTCAGTATAGAATAGATTATAAGCGTATCGAGACGGGGTGGCGGTAGCTTTATCATTGATTGCACGGACTCTTAAGTGCACGCATTCTTAGTGTAAAATAAAGATATCCATTTAGAACCAAATGCAGCCAAGATAGAGGCGTTTTGCTGGGGGTGGCTGCTTTAATATCAACCACACATTGGTGAAGTTAAGTGACAGGTTTGCTCTTTCTCGAATTAAATTAGCAACAGTGCAAACTAAGATGCAACTGTAAATCACGTAAAACCTGTATCTTGACAATATTAGACTAGATTTGCCAAGTCAATCAATATTTTTTACCACAAACTCCTTTATTAGGATTGCTTTCTATTTTCTGGTTAGTTTTTGAGATAAGAGAATTTGAATTCATGAAACGTCTATCTCTGACCTCAATGAAACAAGATGGGAATTATGCTTTTTCTCAATTTGATCAACAAATGGAGCAATTATCATCAAAACAAAAATTGACACTGCCATCTTCCTTCATGTGCCAAACAAAAAAAAAATTCCCAAGTAGAGATTACCAATAATTGATTAGTCATGCATGGGATACTGGAAATAGACTTGCGTAGCTAAATTTGCTTTCAAGAGCAGTCTCATTTAAATTGCTATTTTCTAGAGCTTTTGTAGAAAAATATACTGTTGTGATTTAATGTATGTAAGATTAAAAATGATTGAAATGTGATCACAAAAAGCGTAAATTTTTTTTGAAAACTGCAATCCAAACAATGCTATTAAAGTCCGTTTGGATTGCGTTTTTTAGAGTGATTTTGAGAAAAATAATTGTGTTATATTTTTAAAATGTGATTTTTGTGAAATAAAATGGTGAAATAGAAATTGTATAGAAAGAACATTCATAGCAAACATAAAATTGTTTTTTTTTAAATCACAATCCAAGCAAAGGACTTAGAGTTGATTAATCAATACATAGCTTTTATTCGGTTAACAGAATTTATTTCTACATAATAAAAATTTCACATATTTGGGGTGGATTAATCTTTTTTCACTAATAGAGTATAAACTAGAGGTTTAGATGCATGATAATTATCTCAATTTAAATTTAAATTTCAAATTTTATACATAAATCATCTATTTAAACTTGCTAGTGTATACATTGAATTTTGCAAATATGTAATGCATTCAAACTGTTAGTATGCAAAAGTGTTATCCATTTAGAACCAAATGCAGCCAAGAGGGAGGCGTCTTGGTGGGGTGGCGGTTTTAATTTCAACCACACATTGGTGAAGTTGACTGAAAGGTTTGCTCTACCCCACCCCAATCAAATTAACAACAGTCCAGATTAAGACGCAACTGTAAAAATAATGCAGAACCTATATCTTGACAAAATTAGACTTGATTAGCATGCGAACTCAATCAATAGTTTCTAATAAACTTCTATGTCAGGACTTCGTTTTGTTTTTTGGTCAGAGCCCTTCCCGAACCAAAGTTTTTGCAGTTTTGGTAGAACATTATAATGTAGTAATATGGTGCCTGTAAAACAAGATATTGAAAAATGTGTCAAGACAATTTCAATGCGAAAACTTGCAATCCAAATAAGTTTTTGAGATATAAGAGAGTTCGAACTCATGAAGCGAAGCAAGAGGGGAATTTTGCTTTTTCTACAATTTAATCTACAAATGGAGCAGTTATTATCAAAACAAAAATTGGTACTTCCGTTTCATATATAAAAAGAAAAAAACCCAAGAATAATTGATTAGTCATGCATGGGATACTGGAAATAATTTTGCGCAGCAAGATTAATCAATACAGAGCTTTTGCTCTGTTAATTTTTGCATCATAAAGAATTTGACATATTTTACAATTTTTTCAACACTGACAAAGTACAAAGAAGGGCCAGCGATGCCGTCAGAACTACAATTTTCTTGCCAGAGCAATTTTACTCCAAACACTCAAGCTATCCTCTTCCTCTACTAGTAGATGGTTTAACAGCAAGTGTGTCCAAAAACCATGCGGGCCTTTCTTCTTCCTCTCTCCCCAGAATCCGCACTTCCTCTTCCTCCCTCAGCAGCTTCGCTGATAATCGCAGGCAATCGATAAACCAAACCAACATGTCTAATTTTGGCAAGCAAAAGTTCCATGAGACTTAGTAAATGGAAACTAAAATCGCAAGAAAAGCTATATATATGCCCTCGTAGTATTCAAATTTGCAAACATGAAATTCAACACCAATCCACCTGGAAACATTCATAAACGAATTGCCAAATGAAAAAAGTAATAGTCTAAGCCAGTTTATCTTTTGTTCAAAATTCCTAACCGTTCTATCTTTTATTTACCATCCCATAGCTTTCCCTTTTGACCAAACCCCATAATTCAGATATACCAGAAAGACGCAGACCTGTACGGCAGAAAGAGGAGTGGTAAGTTTTCGATCAATCCACAAGTTGCAGAGTAATGGTAGTTTGGGCATTTGGTGCAAATTTGCTCTAACAGGAAGATTTTAGTTCTGACAACATCGCTAACCATAGACTAACTAGGGATCTAGATGCATAATAATTAATTTAAATTTCGAAATTTGCACATATATCACGAGTCCAGAGTCACTAAGGTATGCATTAAATTTTTACGCATATGATATAGACTCGCAAGCGTTAATGTAGAATAGAGAGTTATCCATTTAGAACCAATTGTAGCCAAGAGAGAGCCATCTTCTGGCCTTGCGTGGGTGGCGGCTTCAGTATCAACTGGTTGGTGATGTTAACTGACGGGTTTGCTCTTGTCGATTCAAATTCGTAATGATGCGACACTAATTTGACAAAATTAGACTGGATTGGCTTTCCTAAATCAATATTCTATTTTCGACCAATCAGGACTCCTTTCTGTTTTCTGGTTAGTTTTTGAGATAAGAGAGTTTGATTTCATGAAAGGTTTGGTTGTGACCTCAACGAAGCAAGATTGGAATTTAGCTTTTTCTTCAATTTGATCAACAAATGGAGCAGTTATTATCAAGACAAAAATTGGAACGGCCACCCCCCTTTATGTGTAAGAAAAAAAAAACCCTAGAAGAGATCATCAATAATTGATTAGTCATGCATGGGATACAGTTGGGTTTCAAAACTAAGTTGTTTACTTCTGTCATTAGAGACCAAATCAATTTACAAGGAATAAAATCCAAGAAACCCACCAAAGCAATTTAAAAGGAATAAAATCCAAGAAACCCACAAGTTGAGTTTAAGGAGTTTTTTGTTATTGAATTAACCAGCTTACAAATGAAACTAATATCACTACTATTACAACTAATTTATCAATGCTAGCTTGGTTATTAAATTATCGAGGAGGCATTGATCTAGTAATTGAGATTGAAACTTCAAATCTAGAGATTCTAAGTTCTGATCCACCTTTTTTCCTCCCTCCCTTATTAAATTCCACTCTTTCTCTGATTCTGAAATGTTAGGATCCAAACGCGGAATAAACAACATTGAGATATCAAATGCACAACAATTTAATAGCAAATAAGCCACAAGCATGAAAGATAAACGACACACAATATTTAACGTGGTTCGATTCCATCATTGAGTCTACGTCCACGGAGAGAAACCTGTTGTTTATTATGAGAGGAAAACCCTATGCAAGAATACAACTTGAACCCAATTCCAACCCTTGTATACCATCTCTCATCTCTCAAGAACCCTCTCTCACACCCCATGTATAAGGTTACATGATGCCCCTTGTGTCTCCTTGTGTGTCCCTGTAGTATGCCAATCTACCTATTTATAAAGAACATTACTGCCAAAAAACCAAATAACAATTGGAAACCAATACTATTTCTTAAACTCATATAGAGTAGAAAATAGCATCTAATTCTAGCTAAATAGGGATTTACTTGACTACTACTTCAAATAACTAAATCTAATTAGGAAACTAGTTACTTCCCACACCAAATAGGAATCTTGACTAAAAAAAATTAAGCCAATTTCCTAACATGAAAACATGCTTTGCCAATATGGTAGTGATTGTTGGCGTCAAAATGATCCAAAATTTTCCTATGAAAAAAAGAAAGCAATCCTAAAGAGTCCGCTTGGATTGTAAGTTTTTGAAACTTTTGTAAAAAGGTATATTGTAGCAATGTGTTGCATGCAAGGTAAAAAAATGCTTAAGAAAATTACATCTGTTAATAACTGTGAATACTTTTAATTGAATGGTAACAGCACGCAGAGTGCCAAAAGTCCAATACTACTTCACGTGGTCATCGAATTTGGAATAGTCAGTGAAGTGAAATGTCAGATACATGAAATCTGAACCTTATTCGGCTAACTAGAGAGATAGAAATATAGAAGACGCAAATAAATTTTTTTTTTGGGTTAATAACACTTAGGCCCTGAACCTATGGGGTGATAACACTTCACAACCTTGTACTTCAAAAATATACATATTACCCCCCTCCCCCCAAAAAATGAATTATATATATTTTTTTGTATTTTTAACTTTGACCAAATATGTGCATATTTTTCTTCCCAAATTACCCCCAATCTTCCTAATTTCTCAGTAGTCAACCTTTATGTTATTGTATTTTCTGTTATGTATTCACCATAATATTCTACTATTGCATGCTATGGTATTATATTACAATATAAATTGAATAAAAAAAACTATCCCAACTGCCGCCTTATCCCCGACCTTTTTCACTACCGTGCTCCTATTGCAACCATTGCTATTTTTTATTTGACATAACTTTCTTAAGATACATATAATATCAATAGCAATCGCAACAATCAATCTTTGAATACTTAGTCAAAATTAATAACTACAATTATCAGTCGTTTTTTCACATTTGATACTATGCAAAATCTAAATCAATATTCATGGATTTTTTTTACAAACAATATGCAACACTCGGTAAACAAAAAGTCAAGCAAATTGACATAAAAAAATCATACTTTTACTACAAACACAAAAAAATTGCCAAGAAAGGATACATTATTTTATCACAACAACGTACCATTTTCTTAATTTTAGATTACAATATATACATATATATTAGTACTATAATACATTATATATAAGGCAAGGCCAGGGTACGGGTGGAGTATGATTTAAACCGATGCTAAATTATACATAAGTCTACACAATAAGTTAATTAAATTACTGTCTAACATCACATCATGCAGTAGCAAAATATTTTGATGAATATATGATTAAAAAATGAAACAAGCTAAAAGTAGACCAATAAGAAATTAGGAAGACTGGGGGTAATTCAAAAAAAAAAATATGCACATGAGTTTGTCAAAATTAAAAGTGCCAATATAATGCACTGGGGGGGGTAAAATGTATATTTTTCAAGTTCAAGGCGGTAAAGTATTACCACCCCATAGGTTCCAGGGGAGTGTTATTAACCCTCTTTCTTTTTAATTCTAATCTTTTAGCAATTGGAAATGCAAGACTTGCAGGGACACTTTTACCAAAGAATCTGAAAGGGCAACCACCCGGCGGAGGGGGCATCAGTCTAGTTACATCTTGAGTGATTTTGATGGCAAGGAACACTTGGCCCATGTTTGAGGGTATAAATAGCAGTAGTTTCTCTACTCAAACCAACAAATTTCTTTCTTAGATTAGTGTGAGAGCTCCAAGTTGTGCCTAGCTCACCAAGATGGCAGCCGCTGGCTTTATTGTGACCCTTGCCATTTGTTTGGCCTTGTCATCTTCATTTTCTCACGCTTTCGATGACAATCCTTTGCAGGATTTCTGCGTTGCTGTGTCTGATACATCTGCAGCTGGTAAGTCCGTTCCCAAACTGCAGATTCTGAACATTTATGTTTGGAATCTTAACGTAGCGTACCTTGCTAGTCTGTATCAAATCATGGTTCATAGTTGGTCGCACCAATTCTGGCCAATTCATTTTCTTAAATTAATTGTTTTCTATACTGATAGTATATATATATGTTGAGTTTGGATGCATAATAACTAATCATAATCTGAATTTGAAACTCAAATTCTACACATCATACATCCAATCTTGCTATATACCACTATGAATGTATGGAAGATTAACTCTCCTTTAATGTCGCCTTTAATGTTATTGAATTTGATGACACATTCATTTCCTATTTTAGCAATAGGATTCTGCAACAAAAAAAGAAGAAAAAAATACAAGCCCCACTAATTTGCAAAATTTTTTTTACAAGGCAAGTTACTTAGTCCATTTACTTCAAATAGTCAACCAATAAAAACACATTGCTTTCAAGGTGGTTAGTCTGCTAATGAATTACTTTAATCAGTTGTAATGCACTGGTGGCTTTTTTGTGCTTTGTAATTAGGCCACTTATCAAGTACATATGTTGTCATTACCAAATACTATCGAGAACACCAGTACTGTTATTATTACTATCATTATTATGAATTGTTGCATAGAAAAAAAAAAAAAACAACTTTCTATTAGAAGTAATCCTGGCGTCGTCACCTTCAAACCTCATAATAGGTTTATAAACAACGCTTTCACAGTATCAACAATCCGTGGCATATAATGGTCAAGTAATGATCTTCATTCACGCTTGGTGGTTTTTTTTTAATTTTATGACAACCAATTAAGCAATTTGCACTGCACAGAAGGGGGTAAAAAGAGAGAGAGAACAAAAAAAACCTGCACCATTTTATGCATACATGATATGTTATACACGCAAATTGTTAACTCTTTGAACAATACAGCAAGCGTCCAACTTGTCATAGTCCATGGATGTTTGCAACCGTTTAATAAAATGTAACATCCAACTTTTTTTTTTGGGTAAGTAAAATGTAACATCCAACTTGTCAAGTTGTCATAACCCATCCATGGGTTTTTTCTTTTAATTTTAATTAGTGTCATTCTCCATCCTGTATTTTGTATTTTATGCTTATTTGATAATTGAACCATAAGCTGCGAAATTAAGATAAATCGAAAGTTACAGAAAAGTGTAAAACTCGCACAATTTTTGTGAGCGTCTACAAAATAGATGGGAGATTCATATTAGAATGTTAGTGATAAAGAGATAGAATAACGATAGCCTTAGATGTATTAGTCACAGGTTGTAGTTTGTGACTTTTCCATTTTTCTTTCACATGGGTGATTCATCCTCATCTTTTGCGCAGTGTTCGTCAATGGAAAGATCTGCAAGAACCCAAAACAGGTAACTAGTGACGATTTCCTCGGAACAGGCTTTAATATTCCTGTAGACACCAACAACTCTCTTGGATCTGGATTTAAGCTGGTTGACGTTAACGTAATACCCGGCCTTAACACTCTCGGTCTCAGTCTCCTTCGTGTAGACTTTGCACCAGGTGGTGTCATACCTCCTCACACGCATCCTCGTGCTACTGAGGCCGTCGTAGTAATCGAGGGTACCATCTATATTGGTTTTGTCACCTCCAATCCAGCTGATAACACGAAAAATAGGTTATATGCTAAGATTTTGAAACCAGGAGACATCTTCGTCCTCCCAATTGGCCTAGTTCATTTTCTAAGAAATGTGGGGAAAACAAAGGCGATGGGGATTGTGGCTTTCAATAGCCAAAACCCTGGTACCATCACAATTGCAAATGCAGTTTTCGGGACAGAGCCGCTTATTTCTCCTGAAGTTCTCACTAAATCATTTCAGCTGGACAAGAAGGTGATCGAGTACCTCCAGTCAAAGTTCTAGTGGCGTGTGAGGACATTCCTTTGTGTTTTGTTCCCCATCCAAATTAGAACAATGTTGGATGTGTCATTTATAAGGTTTTTTTTCAGTTCTACTCTGTGCCCTAAGAGCACAGGATAAGAGCTGTATCTAGTGTTCAAGTTGTTTGTAAAAGTTTAAATTTATAGACAAAAGTTTATGTAATTCAGGGTATTTCAATAAACTAGTTTTTCACAAAAATTTATAGACAATAAGCTTTTTCCTAGACTATTTTGATTTTGGTCCTATATTTGATTTGTGACATGACAAATCATTGTAAGAACATAGTTCCATTTGGATTAGTTATTTTTTGGAGTGTTTTTGAAATATTTTGCTGTAACAGTGTATATGAAAACTTTTAGTGTAGATGTTTTTTTGGTGTTTAGGGACGAGTTTTCGGAATATATTTGGGGTACTTTTTAAAATTAAAAATTTTTTAGAGTACTTTTTAAAAATTAACACCACCATCCATCACGCCTCCCTCCTCTTTTCTCCTCGACTTCCCTCTTCCTCCTCCCTCTCCTTCCCTTCCCTCTTTCTCCTCCCCCCTTCCCTCTTCTCCTTCCATACCCTTTCCCGCCATCCCCACCCTTCTCCTCCCCCCTAATTTGGCCTCGACCAGGTCGCGGCCTTCTTGTCATGATCTGGTTGAGGCTAGATTGGGGAGAGAGGGAACTGTGATGCTCCCACCTCTTCCTAGGGCAAACCCTAAGATATCAGCGGGACGCCTGCCCAACTCTCGTCAGGACTTACGCATTCGTTCACCCTTAATATAGAACTACGAAACATCCAACCACTAAATAAGAAGTACATCGAATATACAAGTCTCAACACTTAAAGTAAAAGTTATCATTACAATTCATCAACCAGAAGTAACAAAATTACACTTTAAGCGTCACCAAAAGTTCATACAAAAATACTAGCTTCCACCAAATCGCTAGTCTAAGTCCTCCAACCCACCTCCAAAGCCTGTTAAGGAAAACAAACTTAATGGGATGAGGAAATGCTCAGTGAGGCCAAGAAAGCAAACAAGCAAGCACGTAACACCAATCAATCAATTAATGTATTTAATAACAACTTTAAACATGACAATTCATTCAAGTGCACAAATAGGAGTTTAAAACACAAGAATGATACAGGAGCTCTCAGGAGCTATCTCCACGTCTCGATCAATTTGCCATCGGGGTTGACCCTCCGTCAACTCAAATAGTAACACGATCGTAGTGCTCCATTTACTTCCTCCATCCACCTAACAGCCACTCGAATCCGGAACCAAACATGTATGAAGTGGCAATACTATTCGAGTATGCCTAGCGAGATCTCAAAAGATCAAACTATAATATTTCCCAAGGTTCATCAAGCTTCTCGATTAAGCCCTTGCTGACTTGAGTTATGAGATTAGCCAATGGGTTGGGGTGCCCCCCAGAAGTATAAGTGGTCGATGAGACATCGCTCTAATCGACTTAGAATTGTTTATGGCTTTGAGTCGGTATGAGAGGCACCTTCCACTCGAACCAGGTGTGGTACATGTTTATGCTCAGAGAATCAATCATAGCACTGAGTTAGTATGAGAGGCACCTCCCACTCCAATAGGGTATGATACATGCTTTCACGCGGTGCTCACGAGTTAAACATATTCATGTACAAGTACAAATCACATATATTCATTTAACAAGTACCATGTAATCAAGAGAGAGAGAGAGAGGACAAGGGTGATAAAGTATACTCTCGCCTTGGCAAGTTCACGTATCATGTATAGTACTTATACGCATATCATTTCAAACATGTAAGCATTTAACATGCACTTGACATTCACCACAAGTCAAGGGCAAAACAAGAGTGAAGCGAGAAGTCAAACGAGCTTTTCGGCATTTTTGTGATCACCTGAGACATGTACAGTCACAATTACCTAAGTGTTCGACCAAGATTAAGAAGAAAAACATTTTCTCGCTACCCACTCTCAAGGTCACAAGTTCGAGTCAAGTTAAAGAAGCTTTTCTAGCTAAAACGTTGGAATAATGCTCAAGAGAGCTCAAAGGTCATTTTTTATTCAAGTCATGGTAAGTAAATTTCAATCCAAAAGAAAGTACCATTTTCACTTTCGACATGAAAAATCAAGAAAAAAGGAGTAGATGGTTTTCATCTCCCAAAAGTTCAAATCTCAAGTCTAAATTTTAGAATTAAAGAGCATTCATATTTTTTCCAAACTAATGGAGTCAAACATATCCAAAACTCCACTTATTTTCATAGTAAAAGTCAAGGCTAAAGTTCCAAGATTCAAGTATAAAACTAGTGCAATTCACCAAGAACTACTCTAGTTAAAACGCTCCCTTTTGTAGTTCAAACTCATGGAAATCGAGGCCATAATAATAGGGGTTGAAGTCCCTAATTCGGGTATGAAGAGAAGTACTATTAACCAAGGGAGTTATATGACCAAGAAAATGCATCAAGAGAGGTTTAACCTTTGGAAACCAAGATTTAAATGAAAGTTTTAAAGTTTCAAAGGAACCATGTATTCAACTATGAAATTACACCTAAAACAGTCCAATAATCGTAAAGGAAGGTGGAAAGTTCTTTAAAAGTGTATTTGCTTGAAAATCAGGAATTCCCAGCTCAAAGTGACACTACTTGAAAAAATCGTATCTCAAGTTTCGTAAGTCCAAAAAATGAAAACTTTATACCATTGAAAACTAGACTTAAAGCACTAAAACTTTCTAGAAGAACTTTTCACAGACTCCAATTCGAAGTCATTCAAATTTTAGATCAAAATCACTGTTCTAAACATGACAGAGCAAAACAGGCTTGCAAATTCAGTGAAGTTTGGAAATTCGGCAAAATTCGTAGAAATGGAATCAGCCCTTGAAATTTATACCACAATTAAAATTCCAAACCTAGTTTCAAATGCCACAAACAGAACTCAATTCGGACCTTTCTATACCAAGATACAACAGTTCTAAGAAAACTGAAGTTTGGAACCTGTTTTACGAAATTCCAGTTTTGACGTACTAGACAGAGTTTCAAAATCTGATCATAACTAGAGCTACACAACGCAAAATTTAGTGTGGTTTATGGCTTTGAAAACTAGATCCAAATACTACAATTCACTAGAAGGAACTGTCATAAAATTCGTTTTGGAAGATAGTCAAAATTGAGCTACAAACTGCAGGTAGAATTGTTTCTCGGATGCAAGTAGAGAGGAATTTCAGTCATCTTTGCCAGTTCACTACAATTCATAGGAAACGAGTTATGGGGTGCATTTTATACCAACGGAAAGCTCTCAGAGTCTAGTTTTGGATACCACAAACGGCACTCAATTTCAACCCCCAGATAGAGAGTTATAACCAAAAACGTGAACACTAGTTGGGGTCATCTGATCAGAAATTTTCCAAAATTCAACCTCATTTTAACCCTACTTAAACACAACCAAAGGGAAAGCTTTTTGGAAGTTAATTCATACACATAACCACCAACATGTATCAAGCATTATTGCACCAAAATAACATCAAAATTTCTAAATTAACAAGAGAGGAACAACCAGAAATTTCGGCCAGCAAGCATCTCTCATTCCTCTTGCTTTCTTTTTCAACTTTGCAACTAGACCTAAACCATATCTCATCAAAGCAAGTAACAAACAAGCAATTAAACACACAAAATCCTCAAGGCCTCTACCTATCAAGCCACCTCAAGTCCACTACCAAATGTCAAGGTTCTTGAGAACCCATCAACAACCCAACAACTATCTTGCTATCACTAACTTACTACTATGAATTGAAGAGGAAAAGTTGAGGGTTTCATGGAGGTTTACCTTGCTGCCCAAAATGAAGAGTAAACACTAGGGATTTGAGCTTCTAAATTTCCAAGTTTCTTCCTTGATCATGTCCTCTTCCAAGCTTGTATGAAAACCCAAGACAAGAAGCAAGTGTGGAGAGTTTTCTTGGAGCAACAATGGAAGAAGCTAGCTGAAATTTTTGGGGAGGATATGAGGAGAGGAAGGGCCGGCCATGGAGAGGAAAGAAAGAGAGTGTTTGTGTGGAAGTTGGGTGACTTGATTGAGCGACAAGAGAAATGACATAAAGGTGGTCTTGGCCCCAAAAGTCAACGATTGATTAGCGAGCCATTAGTGCTCCTAATTGAGATTAACTTAACTTACTCACATCTAATCTCTCAATTAATTTTTCTTTGTCTACTGTTGGTCATTCTTAATTCTCCAAGATTATTGCACTCTCGGACCGAAATTACCTTGAAAATGTGCATTCACTATTTCTCGCTAAACGAGTCGCAGAAAAATTAAATTCACTAACGAAATGTTTTAAAAATATAAATGAAACATTTTTTGCATTCAAATAGATTTGAAATGAATGAAATAAATTATTCGGAGTAAACGGATAAATAAATAATTAAATAAACTGGTAAAATGAAATAAAAGTAAGAAAATAGAATTTCGGATTCTCACAGAAAGGGGCGAGACAGGCAGTAGTGAGGAAGGGGAGAGAAGGAGAAGAGGTGAGAGGGAAGGAGACGAAGAAAAAAGAGAGAAGGACAGGGAGAATGAAGAGGAGACAGGAGGAGGAGGGAAAGAGAAAGAGGGTAGTGGGGATAGGTGGAAGATATTGTAGAATTTTTTTTTTCAAAATTTTTTTCCTACACTTGTGAGTTATTTTTAATATATTATATGAATAAAGTGTTTTTGTTTGTGTATTCTTATAGTATTGTGCTTGAAAATCTAATTTTTGAAGTACAAGCCAATTAAAATTATCCTTTACTACAATCTTAAGTTCTCAACTTGGGTGACACTCATCCATTTTCCATATTAATTCAAACTTCAAGGGACTATTGTGCATATTTTTAAATGATAGGGGAATTCATTAATTTTCGGCCAAATCACATGGGTTTCCATGTATTTCGATCATAGTAATAAAATCAACTAATGTAATTCAGGGGTCAAATCCACAAAAACAAGTTAATTTCCCTTAGTTTAATTATTATAGAAAAGTGATAAAATTTAAGGAATTTATTCTTAACTAATTAAAGAAGAAAATAGATAATCAAATCAAATAAATAAAGGTGAGAAAAAAATTGGCAAAAACTAGGGTTTACCAGTTAATTTTTTAATCCAAATTACAATTAATTACCAGTTAATTTTTTAACAAGTCAAGAACGTATCACATAAAGGTACTTTAGATTATCTTTTGATACATCTAAATTGTATTTAACTAAATCTAACGTTGCTCTTGAGATTATAAGTATGTAATTAAGCCCTTTAAGATCTTAGGTGATTTAGTTAATCGACTCTTGTGATAAGGCTAAATATGTTTATCTATCTAGTACGTGGTTGTATATCC